GTAGTCATTCAGTTCCTTGATGGAGGGCTTCTTTGGCACTGGGATGATGGTAGAACGTTTGAAGCAGGAAGGAAGATAGCACATCTCTAGTGATCTATTGAAGATTCGGGTGAAGATGGGGGCCAATTGGTCAGCATAGACTTTTAAGCAAGAAGGAGTTATCTTGTCTGGCCCTGGTGCTTTTCCTGGCTTTTGTCTGTGTAATAGATCTTGCACTTCTTTTTCTGTGATCATCAGAGGTTGTAAACCCAATGGGTTGGGGCCAGTTGTAGGAGGCTTGGCTGTTGTTGGTGTGTTTGAGATGTGGGTTGTGGAGATAGGTGGCTGTAGTTTCTTTTCAAACCTGCAGTAAAACACATTCAGGTCATCTGCAAGTTGTTGATTTCCTTCTGCCTGAGAAGGAGGTTTGCTGAAGCCAGTGATGTTTGCTGGTTCATTTGTTGAGAATTGATTCTTTAACTTTTCAGAGTAGCTTCTTTTTGCTGCTCTGATCTCTCTTCTTAATATGTTTCTGGCCTGGATCTTTGTGTAAACATCCCAAAGTAAAAATAATTTGAACTTAATCATTAATACCTTGAGTGAAAATTCTTGATAAATTAGTCATATCGACCCATTGTTTTCTTGACATTGTTCCTAAATCTTCGCTTTCTGTTGGCTTTGGCTTTTGATCCTTAATAACCAGTTTTCAATTAGGAACAATACATGAAAAGCATATTCCATTTTCTACAAACTATGGTGTGAATCACTGATCCCTTTTCATCAGTGCAGCATGAAATTTCCTCTTGTTCTTAATTAAGGCAATTAAGAAATGTGTTCTATCAGTCACTGACAGGCAGTATGACATGATAATAAAAGTTAATTTTAATTACCACATACAAGTTACCGAAAGGAACTGCTTTCTGAAAGTGCTCTCTCTGCCCAATCCAGCCATCTATTGAGCTGCTGTGCTACCAGCCCCCACTACCACAAAGATCCTACAGGAAAAGGGCAGTATGGACAACCGTGGGATCTGGCAGGGTGAGAGCTGTGGACCATAAACACAAAAGTTCTGCTGTGTCCCAGCATAACAGATACAATGCCCTTGCTGACCTTAATAGGGACACTAAAGTGACAAGTCAAGGTAGTTGTGATAATGTTAACTTAAGTAAGCCGGGGATCATGGTCCTAGAAGAAGAACTTACTTTGGAAATGAGAAAGTGTGAATCAGGTATTACGCACCAGTCACACAAGAAGATCAAGGCATCCAAAAAAAGAAGCCACCTTCTGGTTGGGGACTCACTTGTAAGGGATGTAAATTTAGGAAAGAATACTGAGGTTTTGAAAGAGGTCAGGTGTCTACCAGGTGCTACTGCCAGCAGAGAAAAAGAAGCGTATTCTTAAGATAGTCCAGAATGCCAGCAAGGACTGTGATGTTGATGCTATTATACATATTGGTACAAATGATCTGTCCCAGAAGGATGTACTTTCTGTTCAGAAAGACTTCCAGAGCTTGGGGTATGAACTTAGTAATATGGGCTGTAGGCATATCTTTTCAGAGGTTCTACCAGTATACAGGGAACAAAAAAGGAAAGGGCAGCATGTAGCAGAGTTTAATGTGTGGCTAAAGGAGTGATGTAAAAGGGAAGGCTTTGGTTTTATTAGTCATGATGTCTGCAGCTGGTCCAAAGAAAAACTGTACAAAAGAGATAGTTTGCATCCATCAAAGAAAGGGACTGAGTTACTTGGCATTAAATTCACAGATTTCCTGGATAAACATTTAAACTGAACAGTGGGGACAGAGAATTAATGGATTCAGAACATCTCTGTCCCCAGCAACCTAAAACTAATAAGGATACCAGTGCATGCAAAATAGATGTTTGTGCAGGTAAGATTATCAACCTTGATGCCAACCAAAACCAAGCATTTAATAGTGAGTGCACTAATCAAACAGGTGGCAAGAAAGTAGGGACAGGCAGGCACAACACAGGTTATGTAGACAGTAAACACAGTGTCAGACATAAAGATCTCAAGTGCCTATATACAAATGCACAAAGTCTGGGGAACAAACAGGGTGAACTCTAACTATGAATACATGAAGGTAAATATGATATAGTTGGAATAACAGAAACTTGGTGGGATTAAACCCATGATTGGAACATACTGGTAGAAGGATACAAACTATTCAAAAAAACCAGACCCCATAAAAGAGGAGGTGGAGTTGCACTGTATGTAAAGGACCACTATATTGCTACAGAAATTCATGAAACAAAAGATGAAAACCTCCTAGAATGCATATGGGTCAATATAAAAGAAAAAAAGAATGCCATGGCCATAGGCGTATATTATAGGCCACCCAATCAAGCAGAAAAAATAGATGTCCTTTTTGCCAGCCAACTAACAAACATATGCAGGAAACATACAACAATAGTAATGGGAGACTTCAATTATCCTGATATCAATTGGAAAACTAATTCTGCACCAAGTGAGAAATCAAATAAGTTCCTAACCAACCTAGCTGACAACTTTGTTGTCTAAAAGGTAGAGGGTAAAACTAGAGGGACAGCCATACTTGACTTAATTCTTACAAACAGAGAAGAAGTGATAGAGGGAGTTGAAACTGCAGGAACCTTGGGTGAGAGTGACCATGTCATACTAGAATTCAACATAACACAAACAAAAGCAACAGAACATAATGACACCAGAACACTGGGCCATATCTAATAAAATGAAATTCAATATAGAGAAAAGTAAAGTCCTACACTTAGGCAAGAAAAACCAAAAGTACACATATAGACTGGGTGAAACCAGGCTCAATCGCAGTAACTGTGAGAGGGATCTTGGAGTCTTAGTGGACAACCAGCTAAATATGAGCCAGCAGTGCGCAGCCTCCGCCAAAAAAGCTAATGCAATCCTTAGTTGTATTAATAGAGGGATACAGTCAAGATCAAGGGAAGTACTAATACCACTCTATAAAGTCTTAGTAAGACTTTATAGTCTTACTAGAGTACTTGATCCAGTTTTGTTTACCACATTGTAAAAAAGATGTTGAGGCTCTAGAAAAAGTACAGAGAAGAGCAACCAGGATAATTAGGGTACTGGAGGCTAAAACATACAATGAACGGTTGCAGGAACTGGGCATGGCTAGTCTAGTAAAGAGAAGGACCAGGGGAGACATGATAGCGGTCTTCCAATATTTGAGGGGCTGCCACGGAGAGGAAGGGGTCAAGCTATTTTTTAAAGTGCCTGTAGGCCAGACAAGGAATAATGGATGGAAACTGAACAAGGAGAGATTTAACCTGGAAATAAGGAGAAACTTTCTGACAGTGAGAACCATCAACCAATGGAACAGCTTGCCCTTGGAAGTTGTGGGAGCGCCATCACTTGAGACTTTCAAGGAGAGATTGGACTGCCATTTGTCGGAAATGGTGTGGGGTCTCCCGCTTGGGCGGGGGGTTGGACTAGATGACCTACAAGGTCCCTTCCAACTCTGATTATCTGTATCAATAAGCAACTTAGTCAATCAGAGAATTAAATTATCACTGCTTTGCCAGGAAAACCCTTTTTGAATCAGACTAGCTTCCAATAACAGAAAAGTGAATGAAGTAAATGTTTAATACAGAGATGTTTGAAGTCTGAAATGTGCATCCCACAGCTAACACGTAATGCATTCATATCACACTCTGAGAGAGGGTAAAAGAATGGTAAAGCTTTTCACACACTGAGAGTTGTTATCAGTGATTTATTTACATAGACATAAAATATTAAAATTGGGTTGTTAATTTCAGTAGAATTTTTACCCCTGGTGTGACCAAAACACATTTAAAGAGACGAAAATTTTCCGAATGATTATACCAATAGCAATAGCACTTAGGCTTATATACCACTTCACAGTGCTTTACAGTCCTCTCTAAGAGGGTATACAGAGTCAGCATATTGCCCCCAACAATTTGGGTCTTCATTTTACCCACTTCGGAAGGATGGAAGGCTGAGTCAACCTTGACTCATTGAGAATCGAACCCTTGGCAGTGGGCAGAATTAGCCTGCAATACTGCATTCTAACCACTGTGCTACCATGGCTCATAATATAATACAAATCAATATAATTAAAATATTAAATATATAACATCTCCCAATTAATTAATTTGCTTATAAGCACTGATCAGCCACCTATTTTACATTGTGTTATGCATTGTTTTGTTTGTTCTCATATATCATTTAAACATGCATGAAAAATAGAAATTAGAGCTAAAAGTAGCTGTACAAAGAGTTCCTTTCCATGATGTCTTTTGCCATATGGATTGCCTTTCCACTTGGTCCATCAGGTTGTTTGGAAATGACCTAACATTTTCTAAGATATTTCCTAAGATACAGTGACAATTTCCTAAGATACAGTTATACAACTGAATGCCTTAATCTTTTGAAACATTTATACAAAGTCACACCCACGCTACCTGAAAAGTAGCTACTTAGTTAACTGAAAGTGCCAATTAACAGAAATACAGCAGTTTGCCCTATTAGGATAGCATATTCTTGAATTTTTATTTAACGATGGATTGCAAAAAGCAGATGTGGGAAACTGGTAAGTAATAAACAATGCATTGGAAAACCTTTGAGAGTTATAGTTGAAAATGTATGTCATATCTATGTGTTTCTTTTTATGATCATCAAATATTTTTTCTTTTTAATTCAGTTCAATTTTCTCTTCTCCTTTTAAGTAGTGTTATTATTAATATGATCTAACAACTGCTCATGATAATTTTATATGAGTTCCAAAAAACTCACACGCTCAAAATCCATTCTTAGGACACGCTTCTTCCATTATGTGTTTGTAGAGTTGCACATAACCACAATGTCATCAGTTTTCCCCCTATTCATTGACTACATTTTCACTCTGCCTTTTCTTTAGAATAGCACGATACATTCATGCAAGCATTTTCCATTTAATAAATTTGGACAGAGGAATAAATAAATAAAACACACTGCCTCTTTCCTGGAAGCATTTCAGTGTGTGCTATACTTACTGTTAAGAAGACGGAAGTCTATGAATGGGTAGGAACCACGTCGCTCAGAAAGAACCCCTGTCTGACCTCTCAGGCGTGCATCTCCTGCAAAATACAATGGAGCCAATGTTAGAGATACTGTGTCCCGCCCATCAATAATTATTTAACCCCTTATACATTATTTAAGAGTGAAATCAATTCAGAATGTTCTACATAGAAAATAAAGTTTCTAAAAGAAAAAAAAACCCGTACAGATATATTTATTTATCTAACATAGTCTTATACTGCCATGGAAAAACCCCCAGTTCCTTTAGTACTATATACATTACAATCAAACACATAAATTGGTTAAAAATGATAAGCGCTGTCCATGAATGATGAAAAGAGTACAGTCCTGAAGTACAAATACATATGCAAATAAAGATATTTCAAAGTATAAATTATAAATTTTTCTCTTCAAACAAGGAATCCTTTTTTCAGCACCCAGGGGGTTTCCAGGGCAGACAGGATTGAGAATTCTGGATTCATTTCTTTTTAAAATCTGGGGTGGTTTCAAGAGATATGAGTCTTCCATTGACATCATGCCTTACCCTGCCAATTACACAAAATTGGTTTGGTTAAGTAAGTATACTGATTGTTATACTTACTTAAGCCTTATCCCACTGAAAACAATGATCCAAATTCCTAGTCTCTCTAATTTCAGTGACATTACCCCCTTGACTAGTCTCTCTGTGGCTTCAAGACAGAAAAGAAAGAAGAAGTGAAACCACCCCTAAAGTGTCTCAGTGATTTAAGCCTGGATGATTCTTCTTATCTGGTAGAAAATGCTATATATTGCACTATATGCTAGGGATTATAAGAACTGTAACAAGACGTTATGTTATGAACTAGGCAGCACTTTCTTTCTTTGTCTTTAGTCTAGTTTATTACCGTGTTTCTCCAACAATACGACCTCCCCCAATAGGAAGACCCAGCAGGTTTTCTAGGCATAAAATGTAATTAAGCCCCTCCCCCCAAATTTAGGCCTATTTTAAAACATGCAAAATGGGGGGAAGGGCGGAGGGACTTGCCGTTAGGAGCGCCCCGCGGGCAGCAATTCCTCGCCACCAGCTGCTCCTAATGGGCGATCATGGCAGAGCGCGGAGAGCTCCCTACTCCTGCCAAGCACCTTTGCAGCAGACCCAAGACCTTCAGCGCCCGCTGCTGTTGATTTCCCTTCTGCCCATGCCACCGCTGCGTTTGGAGCTGCCACTTCCACGTTTGGAGCACCACTGCTGTTTGGAGCACCGCTGCCGTTTGGAGCTGCCGCTTCTGCATTTGGAGCTGCCGCTGCGTTGGAGCTGCCGCTTCCACGTTTGGATCACCACTGCTGTTTGGAGCACTGCTGCTGTTTGGAGCTGCCGCTTCCGCATTTGGAGCTGCCGCCGCGTTTGGAGCTGCTGCTTCCGCGTTTGGAACCCCACTGCTGATTGGAGCACTGCCGCTGTTTGGAGTTGCCATGTCCGCATTTGGAGCTGCCACCGCGTTTGAAGCTGCCGCTTCCGCGTTTGGAGCACTGCCGCTTTTTGGAGCGCCGACGCCATTTGGAGTGCCGCCGCCATTCCAAACACGGCAGCAGCTCCAAACGTGGAAGTGGCAGCTCCAAACATGATGCCGGTGCTCCAAATGGCGGCGGCACTCCAAATGACAGCGGCACTCCAAACACGGAAGCGGCAGCTCCAAACGTGGTGGCGGAATGGGAAGGAGGGAAAGCAACAGTGGCGGGTGACAAAGGACTTGGGTCTGCAGCAAAGGTGTTTGGTGGGAGTAGGGAGCTCTCTGTGCTTCGCCATGAGCTCTCTGTGCTTCGCCATGATCACCCGTTAGGAGCGGCTGGTGGCGAGGCTGCCCGCAGAGCGCTCTAGATGAGGATGCAAGGGGGGGAATTAAGTCACCCCCGAAAAGATGGCCTAGCCGTTTTTTCGGGGCTCAAAAAAATATAAGACCCAGCCTTATTTTATGAGAAACACGGTAGGAAGCTGTCAGGGAAGGCAGAAAACACTGTTGACAGATTCCCATGTCTGGAACATCAGCCCCAAACAAACTTAATATAAAGTGCAACATTTAAATTTCTGGGCTGCTTGGCTATGACTCAGTTGTCAAAGAAGAAATGCTATTAGATCCAGAACAGGAGAGTGAGCTAGGAAAGGTTTAAAACCCGTAATATTATTTCTTTCTTTTTGCCATCTCTTCTTGTTCTTCCTTTCCAGGCATTCTAATTGTCATATCTTGTCATGCCCCTGTTGGAATCTGACTCGGAGGGGAAAGCTGAGCAGCTGACGGAGTGGAAGTGTGGCTCCGTTGGCTGTGGAAGAAACTGGGGAAGGGAAAAGGCCGGCTGGGCAGAGCAGGGAAGAGGTAGAGCAAGGGAGAGGGAATTCAGAGGAAGACCCAGGCCCACCCCCTCTTCATCCTAGGGCACGCAGGGAGGAATGGAGAAGGGAGCAACGTGAGTTGCTGGGCTTACGTGGGAGGAAAGGGCCCTGATTCCCTTCATTAGCTGAAGCTGGGAACACAGTGTATAAAAGAGGAAGCTGTGCATACCAAGTTGTTGGGAGCAAACGTGACTTTATCTTGTATCGTCATGGCTTATCTGTGTTCCTGGCGTCTTCCCAATTGTGTAAGTTTTGCCGTGCTTTCAAGTCTGAAATTCTTTCTTTCTTTCCCTGCCAAGTTAATTATGTCAGCTTGGTTTGTTTGGATTTTTAGTTACAGTTTGTATGTAACCTATTTTGGACTGAATTTTCTATCGTTAAAGGCTATTCCTGGGAGAGTTTTTCTCCAGGTGAAGGTAACCTGGACATTGGGGGCAAAGTTGGAGATAATAAAGGAATTCTATTGCTTATTGACTGTGTTGCCTTTGTGCCACGCCCTGGGTCATCACATACCTCCTGTTTCCACCACCATGCCATCACCTCTTCCTGTCTCCTCCAGAAAAATCTTCCTCTAGAAAACTGAGGCTTACTGAGCTGGAGCCATATGCTGTCTTCAGGGCAGACTTGCTTTTGAGGGGTGCTTGGTGCTCTTTAAGCTTCTTGTGATGGTAATGATGTTACCTAGTTTGGGTAATGAAATGTCTACAAGAAAACAACCAAGGTAAGAGAGCACCAAGGACTCCTCATTTCAACCCTGACCTACAAATATTCTCCTTTATTGAAACTTGCTTTTGTTGAAAGAGGGCTGAGCTAGCTTATTCTGTGGGTGTCTTTGTGGCATAAGGGGGCACCAGTGGTGGATTAAGGCTCACTGGTGCCCTAAGCACTGACAAATCTTGGTGCCCCCGTCCTTTGTATGTACTATACAAATGAAGCCATATTCTCAACTTTGTGGTGCCCCTTTTTGGGTCTGGTGCCCTAAGCACATGCACTTAATGGTTAATACACCACTAGGGGGCACTGACAGGGCAAAAGATGTACCTGCTAGGAATTTGAGCTCCTTGATATAATTCAACCTTAGGAAACATTTTTAAGATTCCTTTTGAAGGAACCGGCTCACACACATTTAACTTTTCTATTTAAAATGGAAATTAAGTAGATTCTAATGGGCAGGACTGGAATCAAATTTTTTAGCCTTTATGGCTGTGAAAATATGCTTAAGTATGGCAATTCTTCCTAAAACATTAAAAATGAGTGAATTTGAAGAAGCTTGGTAAAAATCCTGATAGATATTAGTAGTCGGGTATATTATGTAACTTTTTTGTTCCAAGGGATGATTACCAGAATAAAAATAAAAGATGCATATTAACTTAGCTTTTCGGGATTACATACCTCGCACGGAACAGGGGGTTTGCAGAGAACATGTAGGGAGATAAAACGAAACTGCTCACTTAGCAACAGATAATGCATGGGGTTTCTATGGCAACTTTGCAGCTGGGGATACTTCGTTAAATGTTTCTAAAATGTTACATTATTGTAATGCATTTTTAATTATGTAATTAATACGTAATTGCCAGCCCTCCCTCCACCTTTTAAAATGTTCATGTATCAATATGGAGTCTGAAAGAAAAAACAATGTGACTCATGACAGACATTTTGAGAAAAAGATCCAAACCCAGTAGCAAATTCCCTGCCCAAAATCTTCTTTCAGCTGCTGTCTGCTCCCTTCCATTTTTTCAACTCTGGTGCCAGACTTGGATCTTCTCAATTGCATTAGGGAACTTGTTCTTTTCCCCTTCTGAAGGCACTCCACATACACCAGCAGTTGAAATTTCAGAGATAGTAATGAAAACAGCTTATCAGCAGCGTGCCATTTTGCCTGCTCAGCTTTAATTTAACCATTGCCCTCAGAGCCACCTTCTTATTTTTTGCTGTCAGCACAACCAACTCAGATGTCTGCTTCTATTTCTCAACAAGACAAAAACCTGGAGCTGATAAAGATTGGGTTCAGTAAGGAATGTTATGCTACGAAAGTAGAAGGGAAGATGTAACCTTGAAAGAAGTAAAAATAAAAGAGGTTAATTACAAATCTGAATTAAGAAAGTTAAAAGAAAAATAAAGCATTACTTTAGGCTGTGATCTGTCAGAAAATAATTCAGGAAAAGAAAATCTCTTATCAGAAAGCTAGCAGAACTTTGGCCCTGGAAGAGATTAATTATGTGTGAGAAGATCATGTTGAGTTCTAAGCAAATGGCTCCCCCCCACACACACACTATATCTGTATGAAAGGAATTACATTCAATGTCCCTCTGACTAACTGTTCTATATACATAATGTACAATCCTGTTGGGCTGAAGTGGACTGTAGGACATAAATTGAGAATTTTCCCTTTTTAGGCAGTAAAGTCTTAACCACCAAAAAACATGGAAGAGCAACAGCTGGTGTGAAGGTAGTTTTGTTCTCACAAAACAGTACCACAGTACAAAGATGTGATTATAATATTTATAGCATGAATCTACCTATGCTGTACAGTTTTGTACGTGAAGAGGAGGTGCTATACTAGATTTTGCCATTCCAAAATAAATAGAATATGAAAGTTTTGGATGCACTCCTGCATTTTAGAAAAGACATTAGAGACTTGCATAGCAAAGCAGCTGGGTTACATGCCTGCCATGTATGATGTTTTTTTTT